TTAAATAAGCCGAGGCGTTTTCTATTCGTTAAAACCATTATCGGCTATGGTTTTGCAAAAAATAGAAGAGTTTTTTATTTTATTTTGTTTTCTCGAAGCAAAATAGTTTTTCCATACACTCACAGTGTTTCTGGGTAATTTTGATCCAAATCAAACTTTGAGCTGGTAAGCATACAGCACTTGCCGGTAAGGTATCTGCATATGATAAATAAAATATTAACTAAATTCAATTTTTTTTTAATTGTCTAATTTCTATTGTTGGGTCAAAATGACCCAAAACATAATGGAAGGGGTAAATTCCAAACACTGCAGAAGGGTTTAGCTCACTATTTTTAATGTTTATTAGATGCCTTAATTTATGTGCCCAACAATGTACTACTGAACGGCAATTTTACTTAAATAATATTAAATAATGTTGGTAATTATTATCATTTCCTTGCCATTGTTAGTAAAAGGTGTTCGACATTCAACTTTTAGGGCAAGAAACGCTCACAAGTAGATACACACTTGCATACATATAAGTATATAATAGTGCGCGTGCAATAGCTCCATAAACTACAATACATTTCTTGGGTTGGGAAAGGAAGTGCTAATGCGAATAAAATAACAGGGAAACTTCCTTTTATGATTTTCTGGGATTTTCCTACATTTATCGCTGTGTTATACTCTATGTTTGTATGACTTTTAGCCCGCTATTCATATATTAAATTAATTTTCAAAATATACTATAATATACACATTTATTCGGAACAGCATAACTGCGCAGTCATAAGGGAAATACCAAATATAACTAATAGTACAAATTAGTACATTAGGCTAGTCCAAAAATGCATGTGAAAAAGTTAAGTCGGAATTTTAATGCCGACACTCCCTAGGATTGTTTTATATAAAAAAAATATACCCCTGTTAGAACAATCCTACTTTACTGTTTTTGGACCACCCTAATGAACATACATATGTAGGGGAAATTTTAAATACAATGACGAAGAATAAAAATTTATTCAATTTGGTATAGTGAGGCGATACAATAATGCAATCAAAATACATGCTTCTCATCTCATAACGAACGACGTGGCCAGTTCATTTAGCAAACGAAACGACTGTCTGGTCTGCAAAACCTCCGAGTACAGTTCGAGGCCTATTCGTTTCAATATGTTAAGCATTGGTGTAAAAGGGGTACAACTTGGACGCAATAAACAGGTAGCAGCATTAGAGCAATTATGCGTAAATTTTGTGATTGGTTTTGTACTCTAGAATGTCAAAAAAGTAAAAAAAATTTCATTACAGAGTAAAAGGAAAACCAAAATGACCATTCATGAGCCATTTCGAATGAAAAAAAAATAATAATTGTAATCTTTCTGTTGTTTTCTATTCAATGTACCTTCGGTACAACTGTCATTTCTGGGCCTACGACGCGTCGCAGTCTTGTCTGCTTCGACCTTCTTCAGCGGCGCACAGAATCTAATATATTGAGAACGAGAAAAGATAGCAAAACGAGTGCAAGGGTATTTTATAGCTGAAGTAATGGAAAATTCAAGAAATTACCTTAAAAAATATAAGTTTTGAATTTTATCAGAAACTTTTGAAAAAATTTTAAACACATTTAAATTTAATTTTTTTTACAGTTCTCTACATGCTATTTTTAGGTAAAAGAAGTATTCAAAAATTTTACTTTTGAAAATCGTTTAAAAGGGTCTCGGCAATAATTACGGCCTTCTTAAGCAACATTTGTATAATTTTTTGTTAAATCAAAAAAAATAAATAAATTAAGCTTAGGTAAATATCTCATTAAAAATCCCAAGTGATTTTTCCTTTAAGAATTTCCGACTAATAATATTTTGTGTACAAATTAAAAGAATCGAAAATATTTAAACTAGATTCACATTTTGCCTAGAGTTTTTCCGCCACTACTCTGTGCCCCACAATATTTAATTAAAACTCCATATAAAGTACGATAATGGCAAACTCCACTCACACACATATGTACACTCCCCAATATATGTAGAGAGTATCAACTTGAAAACTTCCAACACCAAAACGCGACAGACTTGAATTGAAGCCACTTGAGATATCAAGATTTTGACATTCACTGCTTCTTACGCGCTACTGCCGCCGACTGCGCACTACAGTTAACGAAGAGGTTTTCCTTACATTTTGTGCTTTTTATTTTCATACCACCAATGTGTGTGGTTATTAGTGCAGCACTCGCAGCTAAAAGAAGAGCGTACTTGAAATTCAAAATGCTTTTGACGTGCACTCAAGAAATCAAAATCAATTTCCGCGCCACTACGCGCCCAAAAATCAAAGCCACTTGCCAACACGAACACCGACATTGAACGACCAAAAAAAAGGAGGTATTCACATACATACATATGTACATAGTTATATATAAATGTGACTATGTTGATTATTAAACTTCGGCGCTGAATTATTTGAAATATATATTGAAATGAACGAATGAAGGAAGCAAGGAGTGTGCGGAAATTTAATTTTGACTAGCACAACAACAACAAACAAACTTCAGCAGCTGCAGGCACAAAGAAAATTTGATTTGCATTAAATTAAAGTCGAAAGCAAAAAATCATCTGCAAATTTTCAAAAGATAAGTACTGCCTACAAAAATAAAAAAGTTGAAAGAAATTGACATAACGCAAGACCAGCAGCTGTGACGTCTGTCTAGAAAGCGACAGCGGCCTCAAAAAGACGCCAGTGTTATTAATTTCACATTTTCACACCTTTACATCGACATGTGCCCACACATGTTATGTGCAACAATTCACCTCCTTGCCTTGGTGGTATGTACTTTGCTGATTTACATTCGCCGCATGCTGCAGATATTTTGATAAAATTGCGTATACGCCATGGCAGCGCGTTGACAGTGTGATGTATTAAGCTGCCGCAACTCGGCCGTTCGGTCGTTCGGTCGTTGCTTGTGTAACTGAGGTTTGGCAGCTGTTGAAAAGTGCCCGCACTGCGGCGCAGAAAAGCGGAAATAAATATTGGATCCGCACACTTTTCGTTACAGTTAAACGCGCATGCAAAGGCGCAGTATAGCATATGGAATGTTATGTGCACAGCATAGTAAGAACTAAGAAGTGTTGAGCTTTCGCTGAAGAGTGAATGGATTTTTAATACACTCTTATATTTCAATAGCTTGGCCCATCAATATAAAGGAATCTTTCAATGCAATACTTACCAACTTTGAGGTGTTTGAATAAATTTAAAGTCTGCAGGACCAATGAAAATAAAATATTATGGTGGCGCTGTAGTCAGAACAATTGCAGAAATTGCGTTAATGGTCCGAGAACTTTCCGTAAATAAATAATAGGGAGTTTAGATTAAGTTAAAGTTTTAATGATATTAAAGTAAAACACTAAAATTTTTACGCTACTAAATATCATTTTGGCGCATCGTTGTATAAGGAAAGTAGCGTGCAATACTATCTAATCTCACCGCGCTCACAGAGTTGTCCAAACAAACTGATCACTGCCTGCCACTGATAGCCAGGCGGCCCTAACACCTCGTCACCAATCTTCTAGGACCACTTCACTTTCACAACTATAGAGCTGACGAAGTAGCACTGATACAAAAATTAGGATCACTCAAGGCATTCTTATATAATGAAAATTTTGCAGTTACCATTAACAAGATATGGAAATAAGATACATAAGTCGTCAGCCTAAGCAGCCAGAACATATGCCTCGCGAGCTTAGTTGTTAGAGGATATTTCTTGATTAGTCTGCGGGGATGTAGAGAAAGATGTGAGATGTGAATTTCCGGCCAAAGGGACTTACAATCTTTGCAAGTGGCGGGAATCGGCCAACGTTCGCTGAAACTGTTAGAAGAAGCAGTCCCCAGAACTCCAAAGGGACTTCAATAGGCGTCCCCGTCAGAAGAGATGGCTGCAGAGATACGCTTTCAAGCCAATTAAGCAGCCATGCACCTTCCTATCATACCACTGTGCCGTGGATTTTAAAAGTGACGTATTTTCCGACCAATTTCGTTAGTACCAAGAGTATTCTTAGAGCCTTGATTACCGCCTAGCTGGTGGAGAGAATATTTAAATTCCTAATTTTTATTATACTATACGCAGTCGGTAAAATGCTCCATTTTAAGATTTTACTCTAGTTTGAAATACGCTTAAAAAATCTAGAAATCTAATTTTTAGATTAACAAAGAGTTCCTGATAAAATACATCTCGTCCAACTCTACTATCTTACTAAGACCCATCTCGTGATACGTCAACTTGTACCTTTGCCCAGAGATTTCCAAATTCAATCGGAACCTGCGCTGACACTTTTCTTCAGGTATGAGTTCGTAGTACTGCTTAGCCTCATAGCGAAGCCTACTGCTGCTGCTGCCTTGAACGCAATTTCAACCGCTACGGGGCAAAATAAAAAATCGCCAAAAAATTCTAGTTGTACCCTGATTTTGCTGTATTTTG